AAAAAAAAAAAAAAAAAAAGAGTAAGCTGGCCACATGCGAGATTTTCACATGCTCTGAATGTGCTGATGTTGGACAGGCCCTCTAGAATGTGTGTTTTTCGCCCCTCATTCAGGATCACTGGTAATGAGCCAAGGCCCTTTATAATGTGTTTAGCTTGTAACAGGCAGGTCTCTTTAAATCCTTTTCAGCAGCGGCCCTCTGAGCTTTAGATTCGGGAAGCCAGAATCCAAATCTTCCACCTGCCGCTGACGAGTTTGATGACAAAATACTTTCCAAAACCTTCAAAACTTAGAAAAAACATGGCCCAAATCGTTTGAGCTATAGTCTAAACTCCCAGTATCCCCCCTTAAAATCCCCTATACTACTCCCCTATATAGTCCCCTACAAAAGCTCCCCTTTTGAGGTGGTTAGACTCTAGCTCATTTGGGCTAAGGGGATAGTCCAGCCGGAGGCCCATCGTATGGAGGCCCTCTTTAGTTTTGGACCTGGGCCGCAAACCATCCCGTTTTGAATCAATTACCTTTAAATGGGTTATAGGGATATATGATGTAAGGGGGGTATAGAGTTTCTAGGGTTTAGGGGTTTCCCAAAATTCGGGGTACCTTATTGGGGGTCCCGATAATGAGGATCCTTTTCCTTGGAGGGTCTACTTTGGGTCCCCAATCCCTGGGGAGCCCTTAGAACCGCGGGATGTTTTCAGGGGCCCTGATTGAGGCCCTATTGTCTCTGTTTTTCTGATGCACCCTATTATTAGGAGGCGGGGTCCCCAAGATTAAAGAGGGTCCTAACAGTAGTTTCCATTTTCTTTTCCATTATCCCTATATGACCCCTTTGTTACCCCTGTATAATCATAATCCCTGTTCCCCTATATAACCCCATAACCCCCGGTCCCTAAACCCTAAACCTCCGCTTTCCACGAAATTCTCAGAGCTTCCTGAGAACCAGGCTGCAGCGCTCTGCTGCGCACGCCAGTCGCCCTTGTTCTTCGAGAGCTCCGCTGTGGCCCTGTGTAGGACCAAGGATTCAGTGGTTTAGGGGTGTAGGGTTTAGTTTAGGGTTTAGGGCTTAGGGTTAATTATCAGAGGGCTCACAAAGTGGAGTAAAGGAAGGTGGGGTACAGGAAATAAGCCCCAACATAATGGAGTATGTACTAGGGATCCTCTGACCCACCTACCTTCATCCCACCTTTGGAGACCCCTTGAAGCTGGCACCAACACCAGGACGACAAGCCGCTGCAGCACCAACTGGAATAAGGCCGCCACTTTTCCAGAGATGTTGGGCCTCACCCACGCATGCTGCTAGGAACACCCCGGAATGAATCCATAATCTAGACCTCTATGGAGGTGTGACAGGTATTACCAGTTGTAACCCTAAACCCTAAACCCTTTTGTACATGGGCTTGACCAAGCTCCGTGCCCGTCTCTGTAAGCTGCTTGACATACCTGTCCAGAAAAAAAAGGAGAAATATTAGCCAAGCAAGGTTCTCCATGTGCAATTTCAGATCGACATGCGTGATACTGTTGATACTGAAAATCCTGCATCACCTGAGTATGCTGTAGCACCATAACTCCCAACGTATAATGTACCTGGGTGCATGCAGGATTTTTAGTATCCACCGAAGTCTTAAGTTTGGTTAGCTAGGAATGAAGGAATGGATCCTTATAGTAGTCCCTATACAACCCATTCTAATAGTTTCCATGTTCTTTTCCATTCCTTCTGAACCCTAAACCGAAACCCTGTTGTAGTTTCCGTCTGCTTTTCCATTCCTTCATTCCCAGCTAACCAAAGGCCAGTCCTTAAACCCTAAACCCTAAACCCTAAACCCTAAGCCCTAAGCCCTAAGCCCTAAACCCTAAACCCTAAACCCTAAACCCTAAGCAGCAGGCCTCTTTGCTCCACCCAGCTTGCTGGAGTAGGGCTTCTTCTTGGTGGATCTCACCTCGGGAGGCCTGTCCAGAGTCACCCAACATGAAAAAAATGGGGTGGTTTCTCAAAATTAGAGGTACCTTCTTGGGGTCCCCATAATAAGGACATATAAGGATTATAGTACTTTGGGGTCTATATTAGGGTCCCCTTATTTTGGGAAGCTACCAAATCCATTCTCCATGCTAGCGACAGCACCAGAAACTCAGTGTGGCATCAAACAGCTCTCTTTGAACGACATTGCAAGGAAGCCCCGTCCCCTGAACAGTTACCAAGAGCGGACCCCCCTTCTAGCAACAGCAATGCCAATGACGGCCACAAGCAAACAACAACCGGCCAAGAGCGAAAGAAAAAAAAGTAAGAAATGTTTCAGTCATGTGGCAACAGCAGCAGTTAAAGAAGAGGTCCTTTACACCCATGAAACTGAAACACCATTCCGAGGATGGTACAGTGGTGGTGCTGGCGTTGTCATCATCTTGTAGAACTCGTCAAATGTGACCTGAGTCAGGGTTTGGGGTTTAGGGTTCGTGCTACTCCCCACGTGTTCGCAGAGTCTTGCTGAGACTGAGTTTTATGCCTGTCCGTCTCCGTCTGTGTCACACATGCGGATCATCTCATCGATCTCCTATAGTCCCCCTTAAGTAGATAGAATATGCCTTTGGGTATATTATAATAAGATCCCCATATACCCTATATTCTATCTATTTAAGGCGGACTACAAGTATTTTCCAAATAGAGTGGGATTCCTGGACTCTGTCAGAAGTCAGGGGCTCCTGATGAGACACCTCCTCACCAATCAACTTGAGGATGTGCGAGATCCTCATCTCAAGCAAAGCTGCGAGGCTACCCTTCATAAGGATAGCACTTGCAGACATGAGCCATAATCTAAACTCNNACTCCTTAAAGTGGGGTTATATAAGGGATTATATCGAACTACGGGGGTTAGTGAGGGGGGTACTAGAAGTTTAGATTATGGCTCACAAGACTTTGTGCCGATCCATACGCCTTATGTTGGGAGACATGGCATGGATCCGGACTTGAGATCTTGAAGGATACCCGCGTGCATCGAGGGCTACAGTGCCGGCTCCGTTTAAGAAAGTATTGGTGAAGAAAATCCGTGCTCTGGATTTCCTAGACATGTATTTTCGCTGCCCCTTTTTTAGCCAGGAAAATGAGTGCCCTCTGACCTTGGGACCCTATTCTATTAACTCTGGGGCTTTTTGGGGGTTCTGGGAATCAGCACGGTGTTTTTAAAGGGCTTTGAAGGAAAATGAACACTTAATTTCCTAAGTAACGGGATGTCCTGAAGGATAGGCGGTTGCCTCAAGCCCCCAATAATTGAGAAAGGATAGTTGGAGATGCAAAGTCTACAGATCCACCGTGGAATTGTACCCTGCACCTCCGGATTATGAGCAGCCACTCGGCCAACTGAGCTACACTGGATTTGGCCTTCTCCACCCGCCTCGGGGTCCAGAACCATCCGCAAGCACGGTCAAGACATGAGTGCTGGTTTTCTTGACGCTATCTTCCCAATGGATTTGATCCCCTCCCTTCCCCTCAGGTTCCAAATCCATCCATAAATACGGCTAACAAAAGGAAACTATTTCCCAATAAATTTGATCCCCTTCCATCCCCCCGGGGGTTCAAATCCATCCGAAAATACTGTTAAGCGAATGGGTATTGCTTTTCTTAACACTATCTCCATATCACTCCCTTCCTCCAATGACGCCCTCTACAGGGACCTCATGACCCCAAGGCAAAGTGGAGCTACTAGCACCAGCTCACTGCAAATGCTGCTGCATACCCCTAGGGATCCAAATAGCCCAATGTAGGTAGTATTTAGAGACTTTGGGGCCCTATGTAGGTATCATTTGTATCCCAACGCTCACACTGTAGACTATCCCAAAACCCCTGGATAGCTTGGCCCAACATATTGCGGTTGACTACAGTTACTCGCACTACGGTTTGCCCCGGCGCAGCCCTGTCTGCTTGAGATGTCTTACTACTGGTGCTGTTCTAAACCTCCCATGACATCTAGAGGCTCGGGCTCTGCGGCGCCAACAAAGCGATTGTTATCGAGGTCGAACGTCGCAAATGCCTCGGATTCATGCCCTTTGTCTCTGGATCATGGAAGATTCCAGCAGCAACACAACAACCTACTGCAGGAGCACGCTCGCGGCTTGGTCCCGATCCTCTTTGATCTCTTCATCGGAGAAGGGCCGATGCTCTATTCCTCGCAGCTCAGAATCTTCCGCGCGTCCCACAGGAATTCTGACGGCTTCTTGAACATATGACTGAGGCCATGGCCAGGTTGGACCGTGCTTGCAAAGCTCTTAACTTTCTGCGGTTCTGCCGCCTGGGTCCAGGGCCATCTGTTCACCGCTTGCACTGGTTGACATAGCGTGCCAGGAGTGTCCGTATTCATGTTGTCCGCACACGGCTGCTTTGTGCAACTTAACACGACAGCAGGGCTAAGTTGGCAACCAAGAGATCTGGAGCCTGTGCGGGCTTTTTGAACCTGGCAGCACTTCTAGTTTGTACCAGCTCAGGTGAGGGCTTAATGCAGTGCATGACACAAACTGGTTAGTGAATCCTGTGGCACATCCCAGGAACGCGGGCCCAATCCGATCCCCCTTATGTCTGTGCCCCGTGACAGCAGGCAGGTGTGGTGCAGCATGTGCAAGCAGGCTGAACAATCGTAGTTGTGTTTGAGGAGGGAATGTCTTTATTCTTGGTAGGGAAGTTTAGGTAAAAGGGTCGAATGTGACTTCTTCCAGGGTTCGCTTGTGACTTCTCACCTTGGGTCGCTCGCGAAATTCGCTATTGCGAAACGCAAAACGTCCTCGCTTTGGCCCCCGATCCTCCGACTCTCCACAATTGCGCGAAGGTGCTCCTCATAAAGTGCAGAGCTATCTTCGTCTTCCCAGCCTGGATTCTCCAACCCTTCGCAGCAGCGTGTGCTCCTCACAAAGTGCCCAACTGTTGCAGCTCGAGGAGCCCTGATCCGCGGCTCTCGACAGTTGCGTGCGCGTGCTCCCCGCAGAGTGTAGAACCACCAACATTCCGTCGGCGTTCGTGGACCCATGATCCCCCAAAACTAAACCCTAAGCCTGGACAAGCTCCTGTCCCCAGATGTCCCCGGGCAGCTGCACTTCTCCTGGTAACCCCCTAAGTTACACCTGAATGCCGCCAAGTGCAGAAGGTCTCGCAGTTCCTTTAGTGGGATTCTCGGGCGAGGGGGTCTTGTTCTGTGCTATGATTAGTTGGGTGAGCTCCAGGTTACGTAGCAAAATCGTAGCAAAGCAAGCACGCAGGCACAACATAAGCCATGATACTTTTGCCGGAGTCAGGACCAGTCATGGCTGCTGAAGCTGAGTGCTAACTAGCGAACACGAATCAGTCACGTCATCAGCTGCAAATTCTTGCAGCGGATTTCCCAGCTTCATAAGGCCTGCTCCTGCCTATAGCAGACATCACCAATGCAACTCCGCTTTCTAACCCTGAATACTCAACCCTAAACCCTAAACCCTACAACAAGCAGGCCCCTCTTTGCTGCAGACTAAGCCATGCCAAAGAAGCGATCCCAGCGCCGCCATATCTTGCCAACTGGAGACCCAGCAGCGAAAACAAGGGGCTGAAGCCAAGCTTAGGATTTCCGTGTTATTTGGGGGGTGGTGATGGCCAGGACTGCCCGAAACCTGGGCTGCACTGCTGTAAGAGCACTTCAGATTTTCGGATGTTTGAGATGAGCATCCTCAAGTGCTGCACTGCTTCCATGAAAAGACTGAGTACCGCAGCTAGTGACATCTTTAGGCTAGCGGTAACAGACTTACAGAAAAGAAGGCGGGCAATGTGTATGCTGACACCTTCTGCTTGAGCCCAAGGCCCAAGATTGTCGATGATCATCCCTCTAGCGAACGCTAGAGGAGCGGTTCAATTGGCGGCATCATCAGACTGATGTGGAAGCGGCCGCTTCGGTTTGAAGACGCAGTGCATCTCAGAGCAGCGGCGCCATGTGCCTTGCAGGGCCACAAGTTGAGAAAGACCCACAAGAAAACCCGGTCACAAGCTGTTGTGCGATGTCCTGACTGAAGAGGGATTGAGGCAGAGGGGCCTATCTGTGGGACTGTTTCTGCACCAGTGCTCTCACTGGAAGAAAGTCAAGATCTGGGTCCCTTGCAAGCTCTAACTCTAATGACCTCACCTAGAGACACGAAAGCAGGACAACATCAGCCCAGCACTCTCCAGAAGTCCGATTTTGGCATGCGGGTGTCAACGCTGTGCGCTCTGCGCAGGTGAGGTACTGAACTAGCCTCCTGTAGCATACTCTTTCCGGGCAACAGCTGTCCTTTCTCGCTCAAGACTGGGCATTCCAGAACGTGATATCGTGTCAGCACCTCCAACAGACTCCATGTGACAGGAGCTAACCACAATCCGGATTGCGCGAGGGAGTCACACCATCTAGCGCTTCTTCCAGGATACGGTTGTCAAGCACAAAGTGTTCCAATGGATTTGTCAGCAGCTGATCAGCAGTACTTGTTCATCAAATCCGAAATGTGGGCTGACGCCAGAAGCTTGTGCTTGTCCAAACTGTGAAGGCAAAAAAACGGCATGCTTGCAAGCGGCTGTGCTTTACGGGAGGGGTGCACAACCTTCAGAAACGGCACGACTTTCTGAGCCTACGGCCTACAAGTGGTGAGACTGCTGCCCTAGTAAGGGGCAGTGGTGCCACTCGAGAAGCAATGATTACATCCTTTAAACAGCTATCCAAACGCTATCCAAACCCTTCATCACAGTTACTGTGAAGTCCTTCTTTGGGACGCAGCATCAGGGTGGCGGCAACGTCCTGCCTGCAAGCAAGATCACAGCACGAGTCAGGCACAAGTGAGCAGCCAAGCGGGCACCGCATGGATCCGGCCCTGCTTTCAACTGCAAGATGCCCCGTTCCGTCTCTATCTCGCCGGTCTATCGACCTTGGAGCGCAGTTCCCCAAAATATGTTCAGCACCCAAGAAGTACAGCGATGTGTCGCAACATGACTGCAGTCGGGCGGCTCCCCTGCGACCGTGACGTGGACTTGCTGTTCATCACCTGCTGTCCAGCCTTGGCAAAGAGACATGTGATATTTATGCAAACTGGACTTGGCCTGCAGATTCCAAGTAAACGGCCGCGTATGAAAGCTTTATAGGGCTGAAAAGGATAGCAGACTGACAGGCGTCCAAAGGACAGCTAGTTACCGTCTGCGACATGACCACCAGCATTGACATCACGCGTCAGATCATCTAAGTTCGGGTGGCAAAAGAAAGTTTTGTCTGGCATGCAGCGAACCAGTCTGTCGCAACCTGCACATTGGAAGAAGCCTGCGTGGCGCTGGCCGCACCCAAAGAATCTTCAAGACTGACGTAGGCAATCGCCTAGGGACAGGAAGGCGGTGCCACCAGCGAAATCGAAATGCTGTCATGCAAGAAGCAGCCTGGCTAGCAGCCCCACTCCAATGCACGAAGCAGTTCCTACTCTTACGGATATGAAATCATGCGCTGCAGCCAGCAGCCAGGCTGCTCTGCGACAGTTGCTGTCAGAATTGGCCCTCAAGGATGAGTGCCATGGCGTTCTTTGGCATGTGCCCTTGACTGAAGCGGCCTGGGCCGTGTCGAAAGGGCAGCTTGACATCGATGGCACAGTTCCATGTGCATTTGCAAGAATCTACAAACTCATACAAGCGGCCCTACTTAGATGATATAGCTGTGCTGGTGCGCAGGGGATGGAAGGCCCCCAGAGTCCCGTCACGTTCAGAGCTTTGAGAAGTATCTGCTGCTCTTACTGCCCGCATACGCACATAGGTGCATGTACATGACAGGACACGCGTGACTGATTTCACTCCAGCACGGTGGACACTGGACACTGGCCTCCAAGAACTCGCTTGTGGTAACCCAAAAGGTAGCAGGGTTCGCCTTGAGTAAGCAACGATGGGATGACAGCTGGCCACGGACAAGAACAATCTGTTATTGGTGAGTTGAGGATGCGACTAACTACGCACATCTGTTCTTCAGGCTCTTCGTCTTTTGTCCAAGCACCGGACAAAGGTGAAAGCCAGTCGCGCTCCGAATGTCAAGGTCCTTCCGCAAAGCTGCCCCATCATCCCTGGTGGACACCATGGCCCAGTTGGAGGTTCTAACCCAATTGTACTTGGTACTTATGCGCAAATTAAGGCCATTTAGGCGACTTCGAGGGCTTGTAATTGGAACCTCCAAGCAGTGGTCTTGCCACACTTCGATTAAAATGACGGAAATGAACTTGGCCTCGTAGGCGGGGCCCCGAATTGGCCAAAGCCCGCATCCATCGCATCCTGGACACGTGGACGTGGACATTACGCCACATGGCTTGCACTTACTATCGTCCCCTTCAGTAGATAGAATATGGGCTATATGGGGACCTTACTATTATAATATACCCAAAGCCATATTCTATCTACTTAAGGGGGACCATAATCCTATTATGTACCCTATTATAATATAGTAGTTTCCATTTTCTTTTCCATTGTCGCTGTATAACCATAGTCATATTCTCCATATTCTACCTACTTCAGGGGGACTATATAGGCATTCTCAACACTCAACCTAGGAACTTATGCCAAGAGCATGAATGCAATGCTGCAGGCGTCCTAGACCGAAGTGAATGTATGAGTCTGCCGGGAACTCCCGAAGGGTAGGTTGTGGTGTGATTTCCACACCTGACACAGGGAGAACTTTGGCAGCCAAGTCTGCTGCCAAACGCATTTAGGGTTTAGGGTTTAAGGTTGTTTTTCCTCCCATCCAGCGGTCGGAAAGGCTAGGTTGAGCATGCGCTATCTCTCCGGGCTCAGACAGCCACCCTCGAGGACTGATCATATTCTCAACCCTGTACCGAATGATACTACCCTTGAAGACGCATAGTAGGCCACTCCAACGCCCATCACAACTGTCCTGTTCTGGCAAATCTGCTCTCCAGTCTCGCGGCGAAACCGGCATCTCGCGCATCCGCATCCTCCATCTGCAACTCTTCACCACCGCTGGCTTCATGCAATACTTCTTCGTCACCATCATCGCCACCAGGTCCATTTACATGATCATGTCCAGAACCTGCCGCCATGGCCTGCCACCTGACTCTTCTTCTGGCCAATCTTCTCCATACTGCGGGCTGCATAGAACAGCTGAAGGGTTCTAATGCCCAGCCTGCTCTCCACGTCACCATCGACAATGTAGCGGTAGGGGAGAAAAGCCTTCTCAGCATCCATGCCGTTTCCGGCACTTCTTCATCCATGCCCTGCGAGGCGACAGTTCCTAGACTACCCTGCCTGGCCTTTCATCTCCCTTTGCTTCATTCATGATCTGAGCTATAGTCTAAACTCCTAGTATCCCCCATACTCCCCTATACAATTCCCGATAAAACCCCCTTTAAGGAGTTGAGACGATAGCTCATCTCCTCATCCAGGATTGTAGTTGCCACGGTGATTGGCTGGCCGGAGTCCGACTGCACCGTACTAACCAGCTGCTCCAGGACTTCTGTGTCATTGTTGCGGAACTCAACCCGGAT